TTTGGACCTCTTTTAAGCTCATTTTGAGCCCCTTTGGTGGACTTCAAGGGCTGATTTGGTGGCCCAATCTTCCTCCTCTTGGACTTCAATTTGGATCACCAAATAATTGTAAAACTTGGATAATTTATCTACTTTGGGATTGAGCTCTTCCTCTACAATTAAAAGCTTCTTTATTTTCCATTGCAGTCCAGCAACCTTAGTCTGTAACTCTTTAGCTTGAGATCTTGTAAATGGCCTTGGAGCTTCCAAAACTCTATCCTTGTCCTTGATGCTATCAGTTAGTCCATTCCCATATTAATATTCCGCGTAATCTTTCTTGGGTTATTTCCTTTGTCTTAACTTACGTCTCGCACTAGCTCCTTATCTATTAATAACATCTCGGGCAGGAATCCTTATTTTCTCTCCTTGACGTAGTGTTTGCATAATCTCCTGGAATCGTTGCATATCTGTAGGATTTGAATGAGTGCAATCTCATCCCTTTCCCATTTTTATCGTATTCTCCTTTTACCATTCCGTAGTTACTAAAATCACTTAATTCTGACTTAATGCCACATCACTCCATACTCCCCCCTTTTAGGGGAGTAGTAATATTTAGAGGTACGACGCCTATAGATGTTTTACCTCTTCATCTTTGGAGTCCTTTCACATCATCGATCACCCTTACCCGCCTTGCGGCAATCCTTTTGTACCAAGGATAACAAAATTCCTTACTCACGAGGGTGACACCTAGTATAACTGGCAATCCTTTTTAAAACTGATTTTCATTTTTTTTGTTTTTTTTTAACTTGTTTTTATTGCTCTTAGTATTCAAGATATCCCCAGAATTATCAAGAACGAAGCCTTGATAGGATCGCTCTGATACCACTTGATATCGATTAGGTCGGGAATCCAAACTAGAGTAAGAATTTGAAAAAAGTAAATGCGGAAGCAATAACAATAAGGAATTGAACAACTAGAACTAAAGGGCAGAAAATAAAGGATGTGGGAAAATTCAAGGAAAGAATTCCAAGAACTTCCAAGAACGCAAGTTCAATAGCCTTGAGAAGATCAAAGCAACAACGTCTTGATTTATTGAAGAAATCAAACGCCTTTACTTAAAAGCAAATCAAAATAATAGATTTGAATCTTGACCGCTTTACGAGTAACTTGAGACAACAATTAATAACTAGTATTAATCGCCTTCTAAGAATACCATAAAGGAATCAAAGATATCACAATAGAGAAGTAATCTTACTACCTTGAACTATGAACTAGTAAAGGTTGAAAGATAAATCTCAAAGCACAAGTAACAAAGGTTCAAAATAACTCTCAAAGTATGATATAATTAATCAATAATGAAGTCNGGGGGCAAATCCCTTTGGGGCAGATTTGGACCTTAAAACTACTAGTTTGGGCCATTGATTTGGAATGGCATGATCCAAATGATACAAACAAAACGAGCAAATGCACAGCTTTCATAAATGACTCTATTCATAGAAGTATTAGGGGTGTCTATGTTCTTGATTCTCCATGTGACATATTATTATATCTTTTGTTCATGGTTCTCAGAAAAATACATAGTTGATAAAGTTTATCCGAAAGGTATATTGATCTTATTAACATATTTCTTATGCATTTCATTCATTTATACATGTACATTGACCCATGACTAGATGGTGTTATATACGCGTATATATATGTATATATATGTATATGGGATATGAAAAAAGGTTACGGTGTTATATATGCACCACCACCTGATCAACTGGTATACGTTGACGATTTTGCCCACAATGGCCGAGATGATATGATGGGATGCCCTCAGAGGCTTGATGATTCTGCCCACAGCGGCCGAGATGATATGATGGGATGCCCTCAGCTTGATGATGTTTTGGAACGTATATACCTATGCATGGTATGACATTTATACGCATATGTATGACATTATAATATTAAATGATTCACAGGGTTATGATAGAATGATACGAAAGATACGTTATGTTGGTACTCGGTTGAGTAAGGTACCGGGTGCCCATCGCGGCCCATCGGTTTGAGTCGTGACAAAAGTGGTATCAGAGAAGTTCTATCCTAGGGAGTCTACAAGCCGTGTCTAGTAGAGTCTTGTTTATAAATGTATTGTGCACCACACTTATAAGCAGGAGGCTACAGGGCATTTAGGATTGTCATTCTTTCTTCATACTCTAGATCGTGTGGTAGAGCTCAGTTGTAAGAACTCAATTTCCTAAACTCCATCTTATTCATAATACGACGATGCCTACATCTAGAAAGATGGTTGGTAAGATATTGCATGTGGCTGTGGAACAGTTGAGTTAGAGGAACTCGATTTTTCATGATGCTTATGATGAGTAAATGCAAGGTCTTCAGTAGATCATGTGTGTACTAAGACATTAAAGCCTCTTGATAAGGAGCCTTAAGGCAAGAATATATATCCACCCCTATGGTGAAAGGCAATGAGTGATTCAGAAGGTCAATACAAGCTTGAACGAGTAAAAGGATCAAGGTGAGAAGGGTACGAGGTACCCAGTTAATGAAGAATTTTGGTATTTACAATTCAGGCAGAAAAATATAAGCATTTTGTGTCACCTTCAATAATAATAGAGGTATGTACAATTGGCCACACCCATCTCATCTATGCCCTATGGGGCTAACAAAAATAGTTTAAGAGAAGAACGAGATATTAGGTCCCGACTAGGTTAGACTAACCCAAAATGATGGATGGATTTTTGCGTTAGTTGACATTTCCAAAGGATATTGAAAATGTTCTAATAGATCTCCTTGTGAGACACCTAGATGATACACTCTAAAATAGTACAAATAGATATGAGTACTACAAATATAGGCACTGCCTTGAAAGGTATAAATATTACCTTACTGTAGCTCCCGTCCCTAGTGGAGAAAGAATGTTAGGCAACCCAATGAGCCAGTAGATGGAGCAAGGGGAGCTAAAAGCAAAAGAATGTCTTGTTCGAGTTTTCAGAATAAAGTGATAGACATAAATGTTAGCGAGGAATAAGAAGAGATTTAATGAAGCATTATGAGTAAAATGTGATACATGTATGATAACGTTAGATCAAAAAGATGACAGTATTACAGAATCTATAGTCAAGTGAAGGAAAGGATGAGAGGTGACAGGCCTTGAGACAACAAAAGAGTATAGGCCATAAAGTCATATTCTCATTTCGAGAAATAAGTTCGTGACTCCAACGTGATTACCAAAAGGAAAATTTAGACCCCAGAGTAATAAGAAATCAGCATGGACTGATGAACACGATAAGCTAAACATGATTAGGGACTAAGTGATTTGATAATAGTCGCCATTATGAGAATTTTATATTTGCATTCCGGCGATAATAGAATGGACGACAGAAGAATAACCTTTGAAGGACATTTAGGAAGACG